ATGACATTCCCATAAGAAATGATCACTTTTCAACATGAGCGGGACTCTAAACACATGGCGAAAAACCACAAAAGTGGTTGGTGGAACAAAAATTTTTTATATTAGAGTGGCCAGCATAAAGACCTGATCTCAATCTCATTGAGAATTTATGGGCATTCTTAAAACAAAAAGTGCATACTTCATGTAAAGTTGCACCATCATCGATTACCCAATTCCAACAAAGAATCAAGGAGCAATGGGATCAATTCATCCGGATTTTTGTCGACACCTTGTAGAAAGCACATCGAGATGCATTGCGGCGTCATAAAAGCAAAAGGCTTATGGACCAAATACTAGTAAATTGTTAAAGCTAAAAAAGTTTATTGCTAAAATAATAGTGCAAAACTGTAAAACACAAAATTTTTTGTTATAGATAAACAAAAAAACGTTTGCGACTAACTGTGAAAAATACACTTGTAATATTTATTTTTGACTACTTTATTGTAAATTAATAAAAAATTATTTACAAGAAAAATTTAGGTATTAGATACAGTTATGCTCTTCACTGTATATATCGCAAATATTTTTGTATTCGAAGTATCTAAAGCCAACGGCTGCAACTTACATTTAATCTAATTTTCGAGATTTTGGTTTTAGTTTTCTTCACATTTTTTAAGGAATTAGCACTCAGTTCACTTTTTCCTCATTTTTTCTTTTATAATAGATACTTTCTTTTCTTTCAAATACTTTTTAATTTAATAATAATATTGTCCTACATATTTATTTAATTTGGTTCAATTGTCCCGAACCAAAGTGCTGAGAGAACTACAGCTATAATAAGCAAAAGATTTTTATTAATAATATTTTATCAAATGTTTGCAAAATATAAAAGAAGCAAAATATATATTGTATTTTGGCTTTCCAAAACTAATTTTATGATTTTGTTACCATCACTATTCTAGCAAATATAAATTGTTTTTGTGGAGTTTTGCACCATTAATTTAAATAAAAAATTGTTAATATTTTAAATTGTTATAACTTCGTTTAAAATAATAATCTAATATAATAATCTGCTTAATTTCATTTTAAAATATGATGCTCCTGTTTTCACCACCTTATATTCGTTTTCTTTTTCCAAGATATTTTAACTCCATATAGCAAATGAAAAAGTGTTCTTTTCTTTAAAAACAAAAATGTAAAAATTCACACATATGTAAAAACACTGAAAAATTTTATTTATGACAAAATTCATCACAGTTTTGAAGATTAAAATGTTTCATTTACAACCTTAAAAATTTCTGTACGATTTTTCTTCATCATTTTCAATTCTCATCATTCTCAATTTTGTTGAACTTTGAACATTAGAGTTAAACAGCAAAATTCAAAAAATCCCAACAATTTGTTATCTAATCTTAATGTTCAAGGTTCAATAAAATTGCAGAAAAAAATTGTGCAGCAAATTTTAAGAGACCGTTATAAAAAGAAAATTTCAATTTTTAAAACCATGGCTAGATCAAGTTATGAAAAACATATTTTAATGCTTTTACAGACATTTGAAGTTCGACAATCTTCGAAAATAAAAATATTCTTACTTTTCGACGAGTGGGTTGATATGAAAACTTTGGAAAAAACGAACTCAGAACAATCAAGATAGAAACTTCACGCTTTAAAATAAAGCCAAATAAATAATTTTTCTTTATAAAGTAATAACAGTCTAAACTATCGGTAACACTATCGGGGAACAAAAACAACTTTTTTTCATGTTACCAAAGATCGCTTTATATAATATTTGAGGGTCTTGATTTCGTATTATATATTTCCTTGGCTAAATTATCTCTGATTTGTAAAATAATCGAAGTCGATCAAATTTGATCTATTCTTAAATTGTAATTACCTCCCAAATGATTCAAATCTTCATTCGTTATCAACTAAAACCTCCTCTAAAAAAATAACAAGAACTTGTCTTATTAGTTTAACTAGTAGGCTTGTTTGAGTAAATATAGGAGCATCTTTCACCGCGAAAATGAATATAATTTGCGAAAACAATGTAAACAATCCTAATGTTTTCTGTTATACTTGTGGCAAATATATTGTTGGGAAAGAAAGAAAAAAATATCACGGACTTCGTAAAACATATCAAGCATATCAGGCATATTTTGGACGTCAAATTAGAGAACAGGAGAAACAATGGGTACCACATAAAGTTTGTAAAACATGCGTCACTTCGCAATTGGACTGAAGGTGATAAGAAAAGCGATTCGCATTCGCAGTATCTATGATGTGGGGTGAGCCTAAACATCACTTGAGTGATTGCTATTTTTGTGCTGTAATTGTGAAGGGTACGAAACGATTCAAAAGACGCCAATATGTTAGCATGGATTCTACAAAGCCACCGATATCACACAGCGAAGAATTTCGTGTGCCAGTGTCCATTTCTATGAAGTGGTATTGAAATGGATGTGATATTAAAATATGTTTGTTATGTTTTTTAATAACATATTGTAAATGTATATCAATAAATAAAAGTAGATAAAAACTATATGGTTATGTCTTTTTTATATTGACTTTATTTCTTTTATCAACATTTAGAGCATAAGCAATTGTTCGAAAACTAGAGTCAACCTAGAAAAATTAACAGCATATTCGTAATCAAGAGTTCCTAATTATCCAAAATCGACTCATAAATTTTTGACAATGGATTAACTGTTCCTCGGTGTAAATTCATTATGTATTCAGTTATGCTTCTTACTGTATGTCAAAATTACATCATCTTATTAACATAAAGTAAAAATGAATAAATGCGTATTATTGAGGTTATATTAAACTTTTATGCAGATTGTATTTATCAATATTAAAATATTATCAATATAAAAAACATACGCGTCTTTGAAATACCACTAATATTGTAACGTAAACAAAAAATTTTCAGATCTGTTGAAACTTTCAAATATAATTTACATATAACTCAAATATACTTTCGTGACAGCGAAATGATTTGCTTCAATTTTAAAATATTAACATTGACCGGTCTCTCCCGACAATCGAACTATCCCGGATTGTAATCTCGAATAATGTATATCTAAGGAATCGAATAAATAAACGTTTAAAAATAAAATCAAATACTATTAGAAAATGTAAAAAAGTCATTGTTTTCATGTAACAATTTGAACGAGCATTTACCTGCGTGGACGTTAAATAACATAATTAGATAACAAGGATAACAAGGTAGGAATAAAAAAGGAAGGCGACAAAGCCTTGAGTAAAGAATTCCCGCGAGGAATATACTTTTCTTCTATCAAGAGAATAAGAGAACCAGTCCTTTCGCGGAGGATGAACGACAAAGCTTCTTGATGACGTTCACGGGTTAATGGTACCAGTTTCACCGCATACTCGTTACGGAAACGATATAAAGGGACATGTAACGGGCGAGCTGAGGTCAACCACACTTCTTGTGATATTTCTATGTATATTCAGGTTCGTAAGGTCATTTATGGAACTCTGTCTTACGACATTTACTTACAAACCTGTTTTCTGAGAAAAAAAAAAAAATTGCTTTGTATTAATGTTTGCTACCATTGCATGTTACATATGTAGATATATAAATAGATCGACATTGTTCCTTAATTGACGTTTGATTGCCAAAGAACAAAAGGCTTCTTACTTTTTGATTCTTGATTCTCATTCAGATTTTCGTTTCTTGGATTTATATTTCTGTAAATATTGGTTTCTTGATCTCTCTTGATTTCGGTTCTCCAATTCTCAAATCTTAATTTCTTTATTTGCAGATCTTGTTTCCTAGATTTTTTATGTTTACGCTATTGGGCAAAAATTTAAGATAATTTTTTTAATTGTATTGAAATATTGTTTTTTCGAATTTCAAGTTAACCGTTTTAAAACTAAATGTTTCCTAAACTGTAAAAAAACATCCTATTTTTTATTATTTTATTTTTTAAGCATAGTTTTTGTTTTAAACAAACTTACTATTTAGTTAATTAATGCTTTAATTTATAATATTATTAATTTATACATCAGTAGATTTGTTATACAGATTAGTAATATATTTCACAGGAATGGAAGACGTTTCTACATTTCGAGACAACTCTTCCGCTAAAATCTTACAAAATGCTTATGATCGATGATAAATGATACAGGCTTATTAAATTTTATCTTTTAATTATGAAAATTTATTTATAAAAATCTGAAATTATATAGATAAAAATATTTTAACTTTATTTTTACAAAATCCTACAAAATGCATGAAAAGCGTAGACAATATGAACACAAGAATATTATTCTTGGCTTTCTTTGTCTCTCATGAAATATTTCACAATAGATTTTACAGAAGGTTAAAATATCTCTTGAACTAATAATTTTTCGATATACATAGAGAATGTCGAACTGCATTGATTAATGGATAAAAAATATATATCATTCCATTTAAAAAACTGAAAGCGATTTTCACATCTTGATAAAAAAGCAAAATAACAAGTATTATATGTCCCTCTGAAAACCATGCAAAAAAAAAACTTTTGTTTGAAATATTCTTCGCAAATAACTTACAAGTTATTTTAAATCGCCATTTCACTCATATTGTATATATTCATAAAAATAATATATCTATACAAATTTTTACCATATTATATATCCCAATAAGGAAATAAGAAAAAAACTAAATACTGAGAATTGTTCTCTGTATTTCTCATACTGATTTAATACTATGGCACCTTGTCCCTTCCTTTGCCATATTGATACAAATGGCAAATCTGCCCACCATAGAAAGAGCGAGCATTTATATCTCTTACGGATCGCAATTCTCTTTCATTTCTTCGTTTCTCCAAATAAATCGAAAAAATATAAAAATATAAAAATACAAAAATATTGAAAGTACCATTAAATTATCATACAATGTACATATACATACATACATACATACATACATACATGCATACATATATATTGCATTATTTCAAAATTATTTTCGTTGATTAAAATGCATGTAGGATTTTTGCTTTGAATTGCAGAAGCTTTGGGGACCGGAAGTTCATCGTGGCAGAGCGAAGATGGTGGTCCAAACTCACGACGCGGTGGTGAGACGCCCTCTTCTTGCGCAACGCCGACGTCAGCCAGCTTCCCGTCGGAGCCTGAAGTGGATGCTGACGTCGGCGTTAATGCCGACGGAACCAACGCTACCGCACCTTATCCTTGTCAATTCTGCGACCGAACGTTTCCGCGACTTAGCTACCTGAAAAAACACGAACAGGTATCAATAATTATTGTCCTTTCTCTGTTTTCTTTTCTCTTTCATCTCTGAATTTTTCATATCTACGGCTGTTTATAGCCGCATGCGTTAGTTCATTGATGATTTAACACTGGAGCTATCAATTTTTAATAATTATAATTAAAATGGTAAAATAAAATAAGTAGAGAAGTAGTAGTAGGTAATGATGCTGGTTTTGTTGTGCAAGAATATTTATATTGCAATATTAATATTAAAATTGTAAATTTTAAGGACGTCTAGATATTTTTAATATCTGCTTACTATTATAATGTGTCTAAAATATTGTTTCAATGTCTGTAACAAATAAATCGAGTTTTAGAAACTTTCGATTCTTAGGACTTTAGTTTTGCCAAAATTAAAAATAATATCTAATTTGAAATTAATTATTGTAATAATTGGTATAAATATACTGACAAAATATACATATATGACTTGGTAAAAATATACTATATTATATTGCTGACTATTGAAAAGTTTCTTATTTTTCTTTTACTGTTTATTCTTGTCTGCTTTTCATCCAAACTTGAAACTGATTTATTCTTTTCAACTTTTAGCTCCACTATTATAAAAATTCTACGTTAAGATTATTAAATTAACTTATATTTACACGTTATTCGAATACTTATATAGGAAGTGCAGGATATTTTGAATGCCAGCTTATACTTTAAAAAAAATTAATTATTGCTTACTAAGTATAAAATATTTATAAAGATATAAAAATAATAGAAAAACTTTGGTATAAAATTAGTTTACTTTAAAATTTAAAAATTTTCTTTAGTTTAAATGCTTACTTTTTTTACTTTCTTGCTCGCTAATTCATCAATTATGTTATTTAAATCTAAACTTTCACTTAATCTACTTTACTCATAGAAAGAAACTCTTAATCATTTAATCTCCTTTCCAGTTTTAAACAGTTGATATTTTAGTTAATAAATTACTATTATTAGATAGTAGAGAGATTGTTAAAAAAGACAATCGTAAAGAAACAGACTCGTAACGTTCTGGTAAAGTGGAGCACCGTTTTAACATTCTTGATTCTTCCTACGATCGTTGGTGCTGAGAACGTTAGCCGCAAAAAGTTGCCATCGACGAATTTTGGAGCGACTCATCTGACTGACTTATTAATATAAATTAAAAACAAAAGACCTCGAGACCGAATTTAACGATTGGAATTCTGTTATCGTGCACCCACGATTAGCACACCTTATTAGGTTTAGATTCTATTAAATTGATCTTGAATTGCAACACAAAACCATAGATAAATATGCAAATTAATAATGATTTGAAAATTAAATGATTTACTAAAATTTTAACCATGATTGCAACGATTGTATACTTGTTGAAAAACTTTTCCAAACCTGAAATTACGATTCATTTATAAACGTCATTGATTAACAAAATATTCGGTCCTATTATTTGCAGTGTTACAAATTGAATAACGTTAATGCTCTCTTAGATACTTCGATATTCTAAAATGTCAATAGTATTCCAAATATGTCTACAGGTCCTACATTATATTTTTCGAACATATTTTACATCGTTATAGCACTTTATAAAAATAGTGGTTTAATTCTAATAAAAATCATCATTATAACTTATATCTTTTTAAATTTATATTCATATTTATATGAATTATTTCAAATTATATTATTGTCATTTTTAAAAGAAGGATCAAGCAAAGCAAGCAAAAATCTTTCGAAACCGGAAGCTAAATTGGCGTTTGGTTGCGGACATCCCAGGCGTGGCTCTTTCGAATTTTTCTGTTTTGCATGACGGTGGTAGATACTAGACAAGCGACTCTTCCATGTTTGACTCGATGTCGACGAGTCATCGTCGGGTCAAAATCTGTTCCATGGCCCATAACAGGTTGTACCAGTCAGGTTGTACCGTCCAGATGGTTCTCCAAGCTTCGGATTCTCCTCTACGCTTTTCAAGCCTCGATAAAAGCCGCTTCCACATACGCGAGCTGAATCGCGTTTCGCTTCCAGCACAGATACGAGCCCGATAACGGAGATAAATTTCGTTCAGGGGCTATAAAATCTTCCTTTATTGCTTTCTCAATCTTCTTCCCCTTTGTTTGTTTCTACGAGATCACGAAAGTCGAGTACAATTGATCGAATTAGAAAAATTTTACAGTTGCAAAGTACAACAGAAAATTTAAAATTTCCTTTTTGCAATTTTAATTCTTTCCTTTGGTAATACAGGAATAAATTAATATAATTCTAAATAGTGTGAATAGTAGAATTTTGCAAAAATATCTTTATATTACGGATACTGTCGTAAATGTACCTATATTAGGATTTTTAGAAAAGATTTTGTGCATTTGGAGGATTTGATGGATGCGAAGTGATGAGTGAAGATTTAGTTTCTATAGTAATATTGAACATTAGGATTCCTAGAAAAAAATTCGCATCTTTTTAAGGCATATATTATAGCAATATAGCCTTTGAGGAATGTAACGGGTATTTAATTTCCATAGTAAAATGCTAATGGTCCAACAATCGGAAATTATTTGAAAATCCGCGATTAATTTAAATTTTCAAATTTTACGAATTTTCCCCATTTTCTTCTTTACGTCCAAGAACCTCACGATGCAGAGATCTTCAACAAGAAGGCGATCGTTTCGCCCTTTTGTCCGGATTGTCTCTTCAAAGGAACCGACGGCTCGAAAGTCGTACGTGCCAAGGTTACTTCGTTGGATAAAGACCAACTAAAAANAAAAAAAAAAAAAAAAAAAAGGAAAAGAAAAGAAAACAGAAAAAAGGGGGAAAAGAAAAGGAGAGCATAAAAAAAAGTTGTACAAAGAGAATGGCCTGACCCGTTCGTGATCATATCGGTCACACTGATCTAGCTGGGTGACAACCACCACGGGAATTCCTCGACGAGGAATTTTCTTGCCCGTCGATCTTTTTGCTCTTTGAACAACCGGTCGAGAACATTTGGCGAATCATGCCATTATTTTCGATCATATTGCTGATTCAATTTACGGTATTGTGATTTTTTAATTGTATCAACTTCGTCATGGTTCAATGTTAATTCAGTTGGTAATTCTTACATTTTTGCACTTTTTCTCAGTTACTAGAAAAAATGTTTGATCGCTGGGAATTTTCGTATAACTTCTTTCCGAAAATTTTATTGAGATCTTCAACATTTCACAGAATTTCTTTTTAATTTTCTGAAAATCGCACAGAATTTCATTCTAGTTAAAATTCATCGTCATCTATTTTAATACTGTACTTAATTACGAAATTAAAACGAAAATTACTGAAATTAGTTGCTGAAATTTTTACAATAATCATAACATTTTCTCTTAATTACTCTGATCATGATAGAACCTTTTAATTTAAAAAAAAAGAACATACCAACGATCAAGCAAATAATTTAGTTTAACAATTTGTAATGCTCATAATATTAAGGCACCTGTTTCTATTAATCTCACAGAATCACGGAGATCAAATGCCATATAGATGCAGTTGGTGTGCCAGATTATTCAAACACAAACGCAGTAGAGATCGACACGTGAAGCTTCATACAGGAGACCGAAGATATCGATGCACGCACTGCGAAGCTGCTTTCTCCAGAAGGTAAATCCATATGAATGTCTTCACTATATCATATCTGATGATCATTGATATAATAATAATCTATAATGATCACAATGATCATCAAGGATAATTTACAATTTTCTTTAAAAAGTACTTCAACATTTATCAATCTAATTATATTGGTTTATGTTTTAATTCATATTCAAGAGCAATTTATCATTTATTAGGCCTTATATTTTTAAACATTTTTTTTATTTTTATTAATAAGTATTACTTTAAAAAAAATTACTTAAAAAAAAAAAGTTTTAGTTTAATGAAAAATTTTCTCTAGTGGACAAAATTAAAAATTAACATTCTATGTCTAACCATAAATTAATAAAAAATTAGATAATGTTTTAGTTATCACTTTTTTTTTCAAATTTACAACAATTTTGTCTATTTATAACAAAAGTTTTAATCAATTTCCTTCAGAAGTCTAGAATATCTGGAATACAGTAATGAAATATTTGGAATACAAATACATATATTTAGATACGTTGTAAAACACGACTGATATAGTTTCCAACAATACGTTATATCATATGCTACATACGTTACATTTTGTACATGTATTATTAAAAAATAAAATACTTTAAATAAGATGGTAAACTAAAGAAAGAAAATAAATTTAATTAAATCTCAATTGTTTCAAATTAAAACTAAAATTCTCGAGGTTTTCCCTCCTCTAAAAAAGACTACAAAATAATATTTAATAAATGAAACAAATTTCTGTATAAGTTCCGCATTCCTAAAAATCTAAATTTGCATGATAGTCATATACAAATTGAGTCTATCATATCTGATACAACAATTAAATTTTTGTAAACTAAAATTGTTATAAAAATTTTTTTAAATAATTTACTTAGATATATTATAACTACATAATATGAAGTAGGGCGCATAAAGTATAACATAAAAAATGTAGCTTAACATAGTTAACGATAATAATTCCAAAGAATTCTAAACGAAGATCAAAATATATAATTATCTTTCGTTTTAAAAAAAAATTCTGTTCAAATTCTATTATATGTTTCACTTTAGAAAATATCTAGATAAATAGATATTATATTTTAGAATCTATGGAATGAAAACAAGTCATTTTGCAACATTTATTAAAAGAGTAAAATTACTTACTAAAAATTACTAAATTACTAAATTACTAATTAATAAATTACTAAAAATGATATAATATTATATTACTTATATATTTATTTAATAAGAGGTATGTCATGGAAATCATAATATAAGTAATTAACAGTAATTAACAGTCATTAAAAATATTGAAAATACTGAAAAGAGAACTTGTTAGGAATAATATCTGAATAACATTTTTTGATATCTTAAACGAATTGAAATACATAGAAATTCCATAATATAATATGTAAATGTATATTACTTTAATAGAATATATATAATATTAGTGGTATGCGAGAGCCTGAGAATATCGATATTGGTATTATTAATGTACAATTTTCTAATGACTGTGTTTCTTACTTCTCATTTTGTTAGAAGATATCATTTATGCATTACTGAATTATACAAATTAAACCATGCTATAACCCCATAACAAAGCAACTGATTAACGATGGTCAAAATGCAGATATTATGTACATCACTTTATATTATACCTAAATATCATGGCATCTTTCTTCACACATATAAATAATATATTCAGAATTTCTTTTCTTTATTTGTTTTCATCGAAGCTTATAATGTGAGAACGTTTTTTTAAAAGCTCCACAATCTATGTTTTTAAATAGAAGATATTTAAAAAGTCTATAATTTCTTCAATCCCAATCGCGGTTCCAAGAAAAATAAATCATTATAAGTATCATTAAACAACGATATGTAACAGCACTAATCAAATATGAAAGGGACAAAAAACCGGAAAGGAAAGGATAGAAGCGAAAGTTGTGTGAAGGCTGATATTCCGGGGAACCGATCCATCGTTTGACAAATGAATAATGATCAAGCGACGACCGTAGCTCTGGCTGACATTATTCAAGCTTACTCTCTTACGTGACTCTTTTTCTTCCTTCTTTTCCCTCATTCGTTTCGTGCCGCCCCAAACAGTCTCTTTTTCTCTCTCTTTATTTCTCCCTTTTCGTCCGCATTCACTCGCGAGGTTATTGAAATGCTAAGCTGGTAGAACCCGACTGGAGACCCGCAAGGGTGACGAGCATACGCACCTCTTCATCTTCACATGGTCTCTCTCTCTCTCTCTGTCTCTCTATCTATCTATCTATCTATCTATCTATCTATCTATCTATTTATCTATCTATCTATCTATCTATCTATCTATCTATTTATCTATCTTTTTTCCCAAATATGCGATTACATATATGTATATGTATATAAGATATAAATAAATGGTGAATACAAGAAGAAAAGAGGCCCTCGTTTCTCTGTGCGTCTCCTCCAGGTGAGTTGACAGGTAGGCGCATAGGTGTTACAGGACAACAGGTAGAACATTAGTCAAGTGCCTCGTTGCTGCTCGTTCACTGACGCTTTGCGCCCTTATGTCGCGCTTACGACTTTTTATTAAATAAGCTTTTTGCTAGAAGTTAAAATAGATAATTCTAATTTTTGCTAATTTTTCAATTTCGTTAGTTAAGTGCAATAATGAATAAGTATATAAGCGGGAAAAAATTCTTATTCTTTGTTGTAATTCAATATTATACTTCCTTATACAACTTATACTTCCTGATACAATTTATTTATTTCCTAACTTGACTGAGTTTTTCTTTTAATAATAAAAGACGTATATGATACAATAGTTTCAAATTTAAAAAAATAAATCAAATATAATTTTAAAACAAAATATGTTCAGTTTTATTTATGCTATACGTTTCAGTAGGTTTCAGTGATTTATGAAGACTGTCAGTTTCATTTTGAGATAAATTATATTATTCTTCTATAATTGATTGTTTCAATTGTTGAACATCATCGTATATTGTTTTTTTGTCTTTGTATTGAGTTGATACAGAAGTTCGTCCCGTTTTTTGAAGAAAAATTTTATTTATTAAAAATTACATTTAATCAATATAGCATATGCTGTTTTGTTCCTTTCACCATCTCTCCAGTAACTGTACAACTCCGCATTCATAGAAGTTCTAAGGTTTCTGGCTAAAGAGCTGATCCAGGTGATTTTTCCAGTTTTCCAAGAAAGTAGGAAAGAAAGTTTTTGCCATCTAAACTGTTTTGAAGCGATCTGAATAAATGGTAATCGAAGGGCGCAAGGTCGGGAGAGTACGATGGATAGATCAAAATATCTCAGCCAAGTTGTAAAAGTTTGTGTCGGGTGGCCAAAGATACGTGTGACTTAGGATTGTCATACTGGAATACAATGCCCTTCTGTTGACTAATTAAGGACCGCTTCTGGTCGATTGCTCGCTTTAATTCACTTAGTTATGAACTTGGTATTTTTCCGAATTAATGGTATGGTTTTCAGGTAACAATTCATAATAAACGATTCCCTCCCATCAAATGTATAGCATAACCTTCTTCGAACGTAAACTGGCTTTTGCGCTGATTGAAGAAGCATCACCGCACTTGAACCATGATCTTTTACGTTTAACGTTATTATACACAATCTATTTTTCATCAACTGTAACTATCCACTTTATAAATGGATCAGTTCCGTTGCGCTTCAATAGATAATCGCAAGCAGAAATTCGGTCTATCAAATTTTTCTCCGTTAACTCATGCAGCACCCATACATCAGCCTTGCTAATCATACCAAATTGACATAATCGTCTTGACACTGTTGACTCGATCAACCTTAGTCGGTCGTCTAAAACGTGGTGCATCACTAACATTAAAATTGTTTTCATAAAACTGTCTGAACTACTTATAGCACGTGGAATCGTCAATGGCAACCTCACCGTACACAGCACACATTTTCTTTTGCATCTTTCTCTTGCATTTTCAGAAATAAAAGGGCATAATATGTCAAAAATGCTCTTTATTTTCTGCCATTTTCTGCCATTTTACTTAATAAAATTTAAATAATCCAACCAAATAACACCATTTTTTTCACAAGTACTTGAAATTCCTTCTGTCGAACGACATCAAAACTATGCACAACTATAAAGTAGGTAATACTTCGGTTTTTCGATGCCATCAAGCATCAAAACGGGACGAACTTTCGCACCAACTCAATATGTAGCATGTGGAAGTTCTCTCTAAAAATAATTTTCGATTATACTCAGGTCAGACAAATAAGCAAGCCATGACAAAACTGATATTCCTACGTTTTGTAAAATATGTTTCTAGAACTTAAGACATTTATGGCAATGTTATGTGAAATTATAAAGTTACCTTTGACAATTCTTCGTATGTGTTTACTAAGTAATTTATATTATAATTAAATTTAAACATTTTTGGTTATTTTTACCTTTGAATCATGAGTCGATTTTACATCCACATTCAATTCCATTCCGAATCATCACATTATCATCATTTGTTATCGTGTATTCATAATTTTCTTTTTCTTTTTTATATGTTATGATAAATCCAAAGATTAACAAATAAACCTTCTTTTTCCATCGATAAATAAAATTCCTCCTTGGTCTTTTGCGAATATTAATTGTTATGTTGTTAACAGGGATTCATATAATGATCTGTTTTATCGTCCTAATAACATGGTGCTTTCCACGATACCTTTTTTCCATAACAGAATTTTTTAACAAATTATATGTAACTTTATAACTCCTTTTAATAATCTTTGAAATTTTAGGAACAATTACATTCTGATTTTTTAGCTCGATAATCCTTGAAATCTCAATTTCACTAAGTAATTTGCTTCTAAGGACCATGATCGATTCATCACACAAGACTGGATAATTATTTTATCTGTTTAACAGATTAATGAATAATATTAATACAAAGCTCAACTATGTATATAATTTGACCTTTGGTGTATATTAATAACGAAAACGACCTCGTTTAATAATAGTTTCCTTCTTCTTCTCATGACATTTACTCGTTTGTATGTATATACATACTATTTACTACATTTAGAAGATTCCAACTCGTTTTCAAGGAATTAAAGATAGCACACATGTTTTCTTCACGACTACACATTAAATTAAATCTATCTTGATTGAGAATCTTTAATATTTAATATTTAAATTATTTATCGATAACATTATCAATAAATTTACAATGAGTGATTAATAGCTAGACTGCGGATTTTTATAGAAAATGTTAAGTGGAAAATTATTGTGCAAAAAATGCATATAACATAAAAAATAATATAAAATATTCAAAATATAATGTTCTTTTATAACGTCATATTTATTTAATATTCTTTTCATATTCTAGATATGAATTTGTAGAAAAATTTGCGTATAATAACCCGCATGAAATTTTAGACCTTTGATTTCTAAAATTTTTCTCAAACTTCTCTTAGATTTTTAAAACCTAGAACAAAAGAATGAATTTGAATCTAAATCAACCAATATCCATTAAAAATAATGTGTTAGAAATAATATTTTGTATTTCCAAAAATAAATTAATATTTCTATTTCTAAATTTCACAAAATTTAAAGATTAATATTTTACACAGAGTAAATTAGTATTTTTAATCTGACAACAAATGAAAATAAAAAGTCGTAACAGAGACTTAGTCTGTCAGCCATTATTACAATCGCATTGCCGGATCTTTACGCCACATCTCTATTCGTTCTTCCAGCTTGACAGTCGGCTTGTGACCCAACAAAAGGGTGAAACCCCTGTGGTTCTTACATAGATCCCGCAGCCACGAGAGATCTGAATAACGACGATCGAGATCGATCGAAATACACGCTCGACCAGTTGTTATCGCTTGATCATTTGTCATAAAATAAAAAATATGTAACATCAAACATCTTTTTCCTAATTTGACAGAAAATCATATCTTAATATCTTCATTGATTGAAAATATATTATCTGAAATGGGTATTTTTATTTAAACAAAACATAAATTTTTCCTGAGAAAATTGCGAATTATTAAATTCATTGTCAAAATGAAAAATTATACCTAATTATTACTAATGATTTATTAATAAGAATCTTTAAAAAATTTCTCTGGATCTTTATTAAATGTAATCTAACTGCTGTTTTAAATATATCTATATTAAATTATCTACATTAATTAGATTATTCTTTTAAGTTTTGAAACTTTCGAATTTTTTAATTTCTGTAATAATTTTCCCACATAAATGTAACACTGATATTATAATGAGTAATTATAGGAAGGAAAAAATTACATTTTTAATAATGTACAATAGCTGCCAATCTTTCGCGCCAAACTTTCTTATTTCAACATTCTAGACGTTTCACGAAAAGTAATGCAATGAATATGCCCTTCTCTAATTTCTAAATATTCAAGTTTAAACTAGGATATCAGAGCAGTTCGTAAAAAAGATTTCTAAAGCCTTTCTTCCTCATCTGTTTTCATAATTATATTCGTATAAACTTTCATAGCTATATTCGTATATACTCCTTTCTTATAATTGTAGAACTAGAACATTAGTATAGATATATGAATATGTACATAATTTCTAATACACGACTATTCAATCCTGCATAATAAACATTTCCAAGAAAGTTGAACACTTGAAACGCCTGGAATTATAAGGAAATAGTTATTTTCTTTAGTTTTGATCTATGCTTTCCAATTCTTTTCCAAAATTTCACGAAGTGAAATCGCATAGAGGCAATAAACACAATAATAGGACAACCAGAGTGTAACCACATCGATAATCCTGGCACACATGAATTATTCAAACGTAAAGTGCAAAAGCGAATTTGCCGTCTGTCTTCGTTTCTGAACGAGCCGAGACACTGACCGGTTGGACCGAACCGGTGACCTCACCTTATAACGGATTTAGTTTTCCACCGACTCGATGAATTATTCATCTGTCTAATAACACATGCACAGGGGAAAATCGTTGACCTATCACCCGCGTCTTTTTATTTTTGTCAACGTGTCACGAATTAAAAGCGGTACTTTTCGCAAATTTGCGATATAAGAATTGATTTCAACTGAGTAATCGTTCTATCGTCGTAGTTGTGATTGGAAGTTTTTTTAATCTCGAGATTTCGGATTAAACGAAGAAGCTATTTTATTAGAGATATATTCGTATATATATATACATCATACATACATACACATACATACATCATACATGCGCGCACGCACACGCACGCACGCATACACACACACACACACACACGCGCGCGCGCGCGCGCGCGCGCATATATACATGCATATATATACATATACATATAGCGCACACACACACGCATATGTGTGGATTCATATTTAGAGCTCCCATACTTTCCTTCATTTTTTCTGAGAAATAAAAATATAATTTAAATTATAATTTTATTATAGAAAAGTAATACTATGAATAAAATGTTTATTTGAAGAAATCATTATTTCTCTTTGAAAAAATCTTAACATGTTCTAGATATTGAAACAGTATATTGATACTGAAAAGTATATATTTACATCGTATTTCTAAGATATTATAAAACTATTGCTTGCAAAAAGATTAACATTTAACATATTAATTCTGCTACGCTCTTTCGACCAACTTGCATTTTTCTCAAACTAAAAAATGTCTGAAATTTGAAAAAATTCTTATAGTGTAGATAATTAAACTTTGTATTAAACATCTTCTTAAAACATTAAGACTAAAATACATATAAAAACTAACGGCCGCATTTAATTTCATTAAACTATCTTGCTTTTTACAATAGAATTAAATCTTTTATCCTTTTACGATTACTTGATAATTTCCAAAAGAAAACTGTCGGTTCTGTCGTGTACTGTAATTGAATTTCACGCCTGATCTTTAATTTTTGAAATAAACTAAAATATCCAGAAAGAATTAGCGAGATCAAAATCCCGATTACTTTAATAACCGTTAGAATGTATAGTTAACAATCATACACGAAATTGTTCATGTACTCAATGAAAAATTGTCGATATTTTAAATTATTATAACTTTGTCAAAAAAAATCGCTTTGCAATTAATCTTACTTTAAAACTTTAACTAAAATCTTAAATTCGTTTGTTTTAAAGATGTTGAAAGATCATGCAACGAATGATACATGCAACAGAAACTAAGGATACTTTCGTTCTCAAAATTTAAATATTTCTGAAATCATTAAAAAAATTTTCTTATACATGCAGCATGATTTTAAAGATTGAAATGTTCTCTTTAATGTCTTTAATATTAAAATTTACTAATCGATTTATCTTTCATGATTCAAATAGCAAATCAATTCTTCTTAAAAAGAATATTCAAGTCAACAATCTACATAATAATAATAACAACAGCAACAATAACAATAATAATAATAATAATATTAGTAATATTACTAATAATAAAAAATTATTTTTTCAAAAGCATATATTTAATTTTTAGTGACCACTTGAAGATTCATATGAAGACCCATGACACTCAAAAGCCGTATCAGTGCACAACCTGTTCTAGAGGCTACAACACAGCAGCTGCCCTAACATCCCACATGCAATCTCACAAGAAACATCATCAATCTCAAACATCCAAACTTCAGGACGTCGACTATGGTAGAAGAAGTGTATCCTCTCATAGTACATCATCGCCGCCAATACCAAGCTCTCCATCGCCATCTCTAAATATAGTCTTGAATTCAAAAACTTGTATGAAAAGTACTCAAGGAAGTGCTTCGACAACTCCGATTCTGAGCTCTCCACTGAAGTTAGCTTGCATGTATTGTACCAGAGATACCTTCAGTTGTATGCAACAACTCCAGATGCACGTGCACACGATGCACCAAGCTATCTTAAGTGGAGAAACTGTTGCAGTATCTCCATCAACTAACAGAATCAATGAACAAATAAGTTATCAGAATGAAAAGACTTTCGACAGAAAGCCAGAAGGATCATCTAAAGAACACAAAAGGAAATATCAAGATGATTCAGAAAAATCTATAGAAAAAGATCACTATGAAAACGCATTTACATGTAGTCAGTGTACTATGAAGTTCTCTACGTTAGGCTCATTGAGGGATCATTTGGTTTCGATTCATAGAACCGATGGTTTTGGCTCTGCTTTGATGATGTGTCCTCTTTGTGGCATTCCTTGTACTTCTGCAGCGACTTATGCAGAACACTATGTTCTCCAACATTGTGAAAATCGAAGAACAGGTCTCCTAGAAATTAGAGACTATACAGATTCTAAGATGAATGGAAATTATGACACTAAAAGTAACAGGAGTCAGAAATGTAGGGAGCAAACGTCTTCTGAGCCAGCTGATTTGACCAACAAGCATTCTACCAGTACAGAAAGTAATTATACAGCTGGTACATTGTTATGTGGACAGTGTGGAGCTGCTTTAAAGGACTTCGAATCATTCAGGGAACACTTAGCTAGACATCTTCAAGCTGATCATAGAAATGATGTTAGACACCCTTGTTTAAAGTGTGAAGCCACTTTTCAAGATAGGGAAGACATGTTGGTACATTTAACGAAACATTATTTGGGCCAGATTAGTAAAGAATATGCTTGTGGTGCATGTAAGAAACTTTATCCTCATCCTGATCTTCTTCAGAGGCATTTACTCGACAGTCATGCTCATCATCTCTATCGATGCGCCTTGTGCAGAGATACATTTGATTCTAGAGTAGCGATACAGGTTCATTTTGCTGTGAAACACAGTCAAGAATGCAGAATCTATAGATGCAATGCTTGCACAGTGTCTAATAATGAAAATTCACCGGGAAATGCGCCAGAAGAAGGAAAAAGCTTCTTCCGAAGTGAGTCTGAAATGGCAAACCATGTAAGAAATGTCCACGCACCTCCAACGATGTCAAATAATAGTCCTGTGGCCAGGAGTCCTGCTTCCACTCCAGGAATAACTGGGAATTCCGGACCAAGATGCGTCTTCTGTGGAATCTGTTGTAGTTCCGAGCTGGAACTACAACTCCATTTAGCCAGCCATTCTGCTAACTTATATAGATGTCCTGTTTGTAGAGAAGGATTTGCCGTGGAATTTTTATTAGATAGACATATTACTCAAGCACATCACTCTAGTGATCATCAGGATGTCATGAGAAGTAATTCTAGAGAGAATGGAAGAATTGGTAGACTACCAAGATTACAGGAAGAGGTATATACATATATACATATATAAACATTACATAATGTTTAAGTATAAAAAGAATTCTCCTTTATATACATATGTAAACATTACATAATGTTTAAGTATAAAAAGAATTCTCCTTGATTTATCTTACAGTATATTATCATATATACTGTAGAGTAGAGTAATTCAATATTTATTTCAGAAAATATCAAATATTTGATTAATAAAATCAAGCTTTAAATTCTAATTTGATCAATCATTCTTTTTCATTTTCTATTATAGGCTAAATCCCAAAAAAGAGGTCGCTCTCCAGCTTCCAGCAACAACAATTCTCTGAATCAACGTGACAACAACAATAAACGTCCAAATTACACCAATGCATCCTCTCAACAATGCGATCTCTGCGAAAGAGGAGAGTTTTCCAACGAAGCAGAACTTCAAGCTCACAAAAAATTGGTTCACACTCCGACCAAGTTTCAAAATAAGTCTATATCAAGTCTTAGCATGACTTGTGCATACTGTGGAGAAGTATGTCGTTCTAGAACTGACCTAGAATCTCATACAAGGATCCAACATGCATCAAGTGAACCTGGAGGACGCCACAAGTGTAATATTTGTGACGAAGTGTGTCCATCAGGAGCAACACTTGCAGAACATAAACTTCAGAAACATTGTAAGATTCAATTAAGTGACACATGTATCGTTTGTCGAGGAAACCTATCTTCAGAATCACAGTTTCTAGAACATGTGCAAAGACACAGTCTGGAGAATGTGGATCCTCAGCAGAGATTAGATGGTTCTCTTCCTCATCTTCCTGCAGCTTGTGTAGTTTGTAGACAGACATTGATCAGTGATTTGGAATGTCGTCTCCATGCCAGACACCACTTAAGAACTTCTGGTTCTCACAGCGTGGCATCCAGCCCCAGTCCCAATCAAAAGAATCAGAGTCCAAGTTGTTGTCTTTGTTTAAGAGATTATTCAGCTGATGACTTTGTTAATTTACCTCCAAGTAATATAAGTGGAGGAGGACAGTCTTTAAGAGTTTGCAAATCTTGTTACATTCGACACTCTCAGGGTCTACCTATTTTGAATTCACCTTACGAGCCTATTAAATGTGATGCTTCTTGGACATCCAGTAATAAAGATGGGCAATGGGATAAATCAAAGGATAAATGGGAAACCGAGAATAAAGAAGATAAAAATGAGGGGAATGATAGAAAGAAGTGTCAAGATTGTGGGGTGAAATTTGAGGATTCTGACAAGGTGGAGAAACATAGGATAGTCGAACATGAAAAAGTTATAAGTGGAGTTATGTTAAACACATACACATGTATACAGTGTCAGGTATATAAGGCTATAATAAGTAGATCATAATAATTAATATAATAAAGTTTTGTATTGTATTACATTTATTTCTTTTTTTCAGATGTCGTTCCCAACAGAGGCAAAGATTCAGCAACATGTAAGAAAAGAACATCTAGAAACATCGGGAAGGACTTCCATAGAAACATTACGATGTCATCTGTGTCTTTTTGAAGCTAGCAGTCCATTAGAATTGCAGAGTCATTTGATAGAGCATACTTTCGCAGGATGTGCCGCTCTCAGCTGTTACATTTGTCAATCTCTCTTCACCGCACCTACTGGTCTTCAGGTATCATAAAATCATAATTCTTCTACTTTTAAAGATATATATTTTATTTTGTTAAAAAATTTTGTCCTTTTCTCTCGCTTATCTCAACTTTTTCCTTGTTACTTCTTGCTTCTTATTCAATTTTTAAAAACTTTAATAATACTGTATCGATCTTTGGTCTTTCAATTCTAGAATCATATGCTTCAAGAACACGGTCTGGGTGCTCGTCCCTACGATTGTTCCCAATGTACACTCAAGTTCTTCTTCAGAGCAGAACTAGATCATCATATGTTAACATTTCATCGACCGGGAGACGTGCCACCACCCAGTAAAAATACACAGAATACCATCGAAATAAAAAAAAAAGATACCGAAGAAAGAAATTGCAATGAAGGAGTGACTGTAAAAGAGGAAATGGTTCCAGGAACAACTGAAGAAGAAGAAGAAATCAACGTGGATGAACAAATAGAAGAGGATGGTCAAAAAGCAGATCAACAATCAGAAATCGAGACAAAATTAAAAACTGAGCTCGAGGAAGAATTTATTCCTGAAAAAATGGAATCGTGATCGTTTCTTATTGATCAAGAAAATAAAATGTTCCGATAATTGTTTTGGAACAATGATCAAAAATAAAGAGATCACTTATAAGAAATCAAAGCTTGTTTACGTTTCTGTTAATTTCATTTTTAATGCAAAAGAATGACAAAATGTCATTTATCTTAACAGATAAAATTATTGTTTCTTTTATCACATAGATAAACTTTCTTAATTTAAATATATATATATATAAGAATTTTTTTAATAAGATATTGCTTAGAAATTTTGCAAGGATGTTACGTATAGTTACCTAGTTAATTGAAACATCGATGGTTTATAATATATGCAAATTTCTGTTATATCGTTCATTTCCTGAATAATTATAGAAGAACACTTTGATTATTTCATGCAATAGAATAAGTTTATGGAATTTAAAAAAAATTGTAAAAACTATTACATATAACGCTAATATTGGAAATACTTTATTTTACAGTACAATGTATTTTTCAATACCGAAAATTTAATAAATTAACAAAATGATATAATTTATACAATAGTTTTAAAAAATTTAGGATATGTATAATATTCTTTATCAAATTTTATTATTCCTTGTTACAGTCGTTTGACTTTATTTTAAAGACAAGTTACAGTGTTAACTTTCATTGTTTAAGTTCTCAAGCGGTTATATCGTATACATATTATATATGTACATTATGACAAAAGTCAATTTACAGCAGAATGGCGGATATAATATAATGGAGGAAAACTGTCATATTATTGTGCAAAAAACTTTCAATGATGAACTATGTATAATGCAAACGCTTGTTAATTCCGAGAAGCTAACAAGCGTTTACATTAATATTGCATAAACTACGCTTCGTATATAATTTACGATCTACGAGCAATCTGAACGAATATTGTAATATAAAATCTTTCTTATTATACGAATAAAAAAAACATCTATTTGCAGATGCAAATTGTAAATACGTCAAATAATGTTAGAATATATTATTAGTCAGCGTTTTAACTTTGGTCGGTATTATAAGTGACAATTATTATTTGAAGAAAGCAGATGCAATAACTTGTCCACTAGGCTTAGTAAATCGATAAGATAGTTCTTTACAAAATAAATTATTGTTCTAAATCAGCATCTCTAACTATTTCTCCCTTACCATTATTGTTATTGATGTTTCGGCTAATTAAAAATTCTACATTATAACAGTATTGTTACCATGGAAACAATTGCTTTCCAATAGAATCAGAGATCGAAAAATATAAACTTGCGAGAAAACAATGTTGTTTTCGATATGTCCGAGATCCAGATATTCGTTTAGGATATTCAAAACAAAGATCAAGAACTAGGTTTCTGATGATAATATATTCTGATTAGAGTTACAAATTTACAACAAAAGATTAAAAAATGAAGACCAAAGAATCAAGACTAAAGATCAGTTTGGACAATTGCAGAGATTTTTATATTCATCTTTGGAATGTCTTCGCAATAGTCATTGTTATTGTTGCTAAATTTTCTAAGAGATCTCATTTTGAAATATTTCAAGAATATGCTGACGCATATTTTTTGTGATTGTTTCCGAATAATATTCAGGAACGAATTTATTTTAACGCTGATGACGACATAAAACACAAACACAGACAATGTATATGAACAGACGTTGCATCTTACGGACTTTCGTGGCCCGTGACCTGAAATACCGACGTAAAAAATTACTACATTTTTAGCGCACTCTACGTTTAAACAACGGTGAACGGGGAATTACATCAAGTAAAACGATCGAGGTTGTTCCAGTAGTGAATGCGCCAGGAATACGATTTTTGAAACCCATTACAGTGTTGTCAAATTTTCAATAGTGAAACTAGTAACTAACCGACATCATCTTACTACATATATCAGAAAGACTCTATCCATGTTTTACAGATTTACCACGACTTTTAAATATGTAGTAAATTAAAATTTTTAAATTATTAATACATAGTTTTAGCTATAAATGATTTACATTTTACTAAATGTTCTTAAAACCAATTTTTAAATAACTAAATTTTTAACTATTTTGAATTATTAATATTAAATTATCAAATTTATGTTAAAATTTTAACAATTTTATTATAATTATGCACTGCAGTGCATTGGTTATGACAAATAGTATAAATTCTATAACTCATTAGTTAAAAATTACGCTTATTAATTAAAATATTATTTGAAATTTTTCTATAAACTACTTTGTCTATCAATACTATAATAATAGCAAGATTTATACTAAATAAATAACAAAACTTGGTTATTTATTTAATATAAATCTTTAATTTTTTCATGAAGATAAAAAATATAAACATATCTACGGAATACATCTTTATGTATCTCGCAAAATCAATCTATGTTGAATGTGTTTACTAAATTTGATATAAAGGGACACATTATGTGGTGCAAATTATAGTTTTGCAGATCAAGACTAAATATAGGGATAGCAGATCAAGATCAAACCGAAACTTTACAATGTCACAGAACATTATTAGAAGAGATAGATAGATCTTTTACGCGGTAACTTCTTGGCGTAAAAATAGGTATATCTTTCTCTGATTTGTACTTTGATCCTTCATCGAACCTGAAGACAGTGTTACGTTGTAAGGATATAATTAAAAATTATACTTCACAATTTCATAGAACTGTTTATTAAAACTTATAGATACAAAAATATAACAATACATCGTGCTTGCTGCAGTGCTAAACAGTTTCTGTCCGTGGGTTTTTTTCTTTCTTTCTTTGAGTAATTTTCTTTCTGCAGTTCCTAAAGTAACGTGTCCCTACAACTTGCATTTAACGTGAAGAGGATTATGAATTAATATTTGCTTGTTTAATTTTATGTATGTGGTACGTGTAGATGTGGTACAGGAAAAAATTTGCAAAAAACCTGCGGTGCTTGATTTTTGATCCTGATGTTGTATACTGTTGTGTGATTGCATCTTTGTCCTGATTTTTAGAAGTATGTTTGTAACTTCGTAGTTTCTTGTATTTCTGATAAGTGGGTTAGTGTAATTTGGATTGTACGCTGTAGTGAGTGAGTTGCGAATGAATTTTTGAATGGTTGGAATGTTTGCTATAGAGTGTAATATTCTAATGGGCGTGTCATATGTTTATTTAGAATGATGCGTAAGAAATTATTCTGCATCCTTTGGATTTTATTTATATGAGTTTTGGCAGCAGCCGCCCAGTTTTGGGGACACCATTTTGATGTCCATAAGTGATGAGTGGTCTAATGCATCTTTTATATAAATTTATTTTTATGTTCGTTTTTAGTCTGCTACTGCTGAAAATAAGAGGATAAAGCCTGTGTAGAGCCTGTTTGTTCCTTTTTCTATGGCGGAAGCCCAGAAAAATGATTTTTGCGTCAAGGATGATTCCCAGATATTTGGCAGTGGAGGATCAGGGAATATTTTGATCTGCTATTTTAATGGGATTTAGTATCAAGTTTTTCTTTGTGATGAATGTAATGGCTTGAATTTTTGCAGGGTTTATTTTCAGTTTTCAGTCTTTGAAATATTTTTGTAGTAAATCTATGTGGTTTTGAATGTACTTGGTGGCTCTTTCGGAACTTCACGAGGAAACGTAAATTGCGGTGTTATCGACGAATATGGCTGTGTGTCTATCTTTGATGTAAAGGATGAAAAGAAGGAGGCCTAGAATGGATCCTCGAGAAACTCCAGCTGTAACTTTTTTGGTTGTAAATTTAGTACCGTTTATGGAAACGTAAAAATTCTTGTTATAGCGATAGCTGATTGTTATGTTGATGAGTGAAGATGGAATTTTTATTGCGTGTAGTTTGATTATTAGGCCGTTGTCCCAAATGAAGTTAAATGCTTTATTGAAGTCTAATAGAAATGGATTGTTTTTTTCTTGTTTCTTTCCAAAATGATGTGTTCGGTCACGCGCTGTAACTCTTGTATGGATGAATGATTTTTGTCAAAAGCCGAATTGCTGGGGGGTTATCATGTCAGATTTGTTATTGTTTACAAGGAGGTGATGATGAATGATTTTTTTCTAAGATTTTGCCTAGAATATCGAGGAGGCTGATCGTTCTGTAATTTGATGTGTTTGTTATGGGTTTCCCTGATTTCGGTATTGGAATAGCCTTAGCCATTTTCCAAGCTATTAAAAAATAGGCAAGTTTTAGGCAGGCTTTGTAGATATAGTAAAGTTGTACTATTGGATAGGTTTTTGAATTTAATGGCAGTTATCTTGTCGGGTCCTAGTGTTTGCTTCATTGTTTGAAAGATTTTTGATTATGTTCTTAACTGTTTTTGAAATGCAAAATGGGTAATTAACTGGAGTTGGAAGGGTTGATTGGATGAGGGTTAGTTTGTGTTCCATGTCCTGTTCTATGGGAGAGTGTTGATTGTATGCGTGCGTGTGTACATTTTCAAAATTTCGAACTAAACCTTCTTGCCACCGGTGTTTTGTATGTATGTTTGTATAAAGTGTGATCAGTGTTTCTTATGTTGGCTAATTTTTGTTGCCATGTATTACTTTTTGCGTGGATTATTCTTTTCTGAATTTTATTTGTGAGGATGTTTCTCTACAATTTGAAGATCGGATTACCAGTTTTTTGATATTTTCTTCGCATTCTATTTTTGTTTCTTATGTCGGAGAGGAGCGAATCAGTGATTAGGCTTATGTTGTGTGCGCGAGATTGTTCGTGTCGCGTTTCGATATGCTTTTTTTATGTGTTGGATAAGAGTTTTAATTTCTGTATCTATGTGTGTTTCGTTAGTTAGGCATGGGTTTATGTTAATTTTATTGCAGATTTTTGCGTATGTCTTCCAGTTAGTATGTTCTTCTTGCTGTTCTATGTAATTGAAATAGTAGTTCTATTGGTAGATGGTTGGAAGGTAGATCGTCAATGATTTGACAGTTGTAAGAGTAAGGTGCATTTGAGAGGAAGATGTCTCTGTTGGTTGTCTGTGTGTATAAGTTGGGCTATGTATGATTTGGTAGTCTCTGAATGATTTTTAATTGCCGATCCGTTTTCGTTTTT